GATGGGCAATAAATGCTGATCTCGCTGACATGATAACAAAATTCAATGATGGTGCATCTACAGCCATCTGAGGGAAACAGTTCCAAAGATTCATAATCCTAAGTGAAGAAATTTTTCATCACAGTCCTAAATGATTTCTCTTCGTATTGAGACTGTGCCTTCATGTTCTAGATTCTCTAGCCTGGGAAAACAACCTCTCCATACCTACCTTGTCAAGCCCCTGTAATGAGATCAATTCTAAATCTTCGATTTGGTTCCAATTTTCTCAGCTTGTGATCACAGGGCAATCCTCTTAATCTGTGGACAAATCTAGTGAAACTTCACTATACTATACTGCCTCCAAGGCAAGTATATCCTACTTATATATGGAAACCCAGAAGTGCACACAATATTCCAACCATGGTCTTTCCAAAGTCCTGGACAACTGTAACGAGATTTATTCTTGCATTCCAATTATCTTGCAATAAATTTCAACATTCATTTGCTTTATTTATTTGCATGCTGTCTTTTTGTGTTTCTTGTAGAGAAAGGCTCAGGTGCCTATTTCACTTCATTAAAAAGATTTTTTTCTTTACTATTCCTATGAATGAAGTGAAAAATTATATACTTCACCATATTGTATCCCATCTACCTCGTTGCTTACTCACTTAACCTGCCTACATCTCTTTGCAGCTCTTTATGCTCCCTCTAACAGCTGTATCCCCATCTACCTTTGTATTATCAGTACAGATACATTACTCTCTCCACATCCAAGTAATAGGTGGTTCCAGCACTTAACTGTGCAGTTCTCACTTGTGACAACCTGCCAACTTCAGAATACCTTAATCATGCCTTCTCTTTGCTTCCAGTTCATTAATGATCCTTTATTCACATCATTTATTATATCCAACTTCATGAGCCTTTATCTTGTCTATTAACCTTTTGTGTGACACCTTATCAAAATGTACTTGGATTTCCAAAGGACGCTACATTGGATGGTTCCACTTTACCTAGTTACAAGCTCAAAAAGGCAAGTAAATTTATCAAATACAATTTCCATTTCTCAAAACCAATTTTTCGTTTTAAAAACCATTATCAAGAATTCTTTGATATTACTTTCCCGCATTGTCTCAATGACTGATATCAGGCTAATAGTTCCCTGTTTTCTCTCTTCTCCCTTTCGTGTATAGAGGTGTTACATCTGCTAAATTAGAAACTGCTGGGACAATTCCAGACTCTAGGGAATTTTGGAAAACCATAACAAGGATATCCACCATTTCCGTAGCTCCTTTTTAGAATTCCAGAATGTAGACCATCAGATCCTGAGGATTTGTCAGATTTTAATCCTCCTGAAGCTTCTCCAGTACAGTGCCTCTGCTGTTATTAATTACCTTAATTTCTTCACTCTTTTTATCACCAAGCTATCCTCTATTGCTGGTCTGTAACTTGTGTTTTCAATGGTAAAAACAGGCAAAATATTTGTTCAGTGTCTCTGCCACTTCCGCATTTTCCATGATAATTTCGCCTGTCTCTGCTTCTAAGGGACCAACTTTTATGTTAGCTGCTCTGTTATTTACATTCGTAAAAGCACATATAATCTGCATTTACATTCCTGGCTTGTCTAATTTCATATCCTATGTTTTCCTTTCCATCAACTTTTCATGGCCTTTTGCTAGTTTCTAAACAATTTCCAAGATTCAGACTTACAATCTTAGCAAGAATAATTGCAAGTTTTTTTATTTAAATCTAATACTATAATTGATCGCCTTTGAAAGCCAAGCTGGTTCTTTATCACAGAGTTTTTGTTATTCAATGGAATTTTTTTTTGACATTTTTAATTGTTCAAATATTTTCTACTGTTTATGTACCACCATATTTTTTGGTCTATTTACAAAATAAACCTTAGCTTGCTCTTCCTACACACAAACATAATTGGTCCTAGAGTCAGAGAGTCATACAGCATGGAAACAAACCCTTTGGTCCAACCAGTCCACGACGAACTAAACTAAAACTAAACTAGTCCCACCTGCCTGCTCCTGGCACATATCCCTCCAAACCTTTCCTATTCATGTATCTATTCAAAGGTCTTTTAAATGTAATTGTACCCGCATTCACCATTCCTCAGGAAGTTCATTCCACACGCAAACCACCCTCTGTGTAAAAAATTTGCCTCTCATGTCTTTTTCAAATCTTTCTCCTCTCACCTTAAAAATGTGCCCCCAGTCTTGAAATCCTCCATCCTAGGGAAAATACAACTACCATTACCATTAACTCTATCTCTACCTCTCACTATTTTACAAACTTCTATCAGGTCTCCTCTCAACCTCCGATAAAATAGTCCCAGCCTATCCAGCCTTTCTTTACAACTCAAACATTCCATACCCAGCAACATCCTGGTAAATCTCTTCTGAACCCTCTCCAGCTTGATAATATCCTTCCTATAACTGGGCAACCAGAACTGGACACAGAATTCCAGAACTGGCCTCACCAATGTCCTGTACAGCCTCAATATGACTACCCAACTCCTATACTCAAAGTATTGAGCAATGAAGGCAAGCATGCCAAATCACCCGGTCGATATGTAATGCAAACTTTGAAGAATTATGTGCCTGCAGCCTTACGTCCCTACCATTAATTGTTTAAGCCCTACCCCTTGCTTGTTGTACCAAAATACAATACCTCGCATTTATCCAGATTGAACTCCATCTGCCATTTTTCACCCCATTGACCCATTTCATCAAGATCCCTCTGTAATCTTAGAAAACCTTCTTCACTGTCTACTGTGTCACCAATTTTGATATTGTCTGCAAACTTAGTGAACATGCCTTCTATATTCTCATCCAAATCATTTATATGAATGATAAACAAAAAAGAGGACCCAGAACCGATCACTGTGGAACACCACTGGTTGCGCCTCCAGTCTGAAAAGCAACCCTCCACCATTACACTCTCTCTCCTGCCGTTAAGCCAATTATGTATCCAATTGGCAAGCTCAACCTGAATCCCATTTGACCTAACTTTACTAATTAGTCTACCATGTGGAACCTTGTTAAAGGCTTTACTAAAACCCGAATAAACAATGTCTACTGCTCTGCCATCATCAATCATTTTGGTTACTTCCTCAAAAAACTCAATCAAGTTTGTGAGACACGATTTTCCGTGCACAAAACCATGCTGACTTGTCTGGGTCATGAATAGGTTGCTCTGAATCTTAATATGGCATTCAGTTGTATTATGACCATTATCATCCAGTGAATTTCCTTTTATTATAAAATTATATTTAGCGCTGCATCAGGAGATCTAAAATAGCCTTATCCCTATAGTTAGAGCTATAGCATCTTGCTGCAGAAAACAGTTACAAAAAACATTCTACGGGTTCTCTGGCCCTAATGGTCTGGGTTTCTACAACTCCATCCCACACAAGACGATCTGCAAGCCCACTCCTTCTTGGGTGAACAGATTCTGAACTAGTCATCATTCATCATCACTCTCCTCTGCCTATTTAAACTTGCTCATACATTGAACAAAATGTGTGACTCCACTGATGTTCTCCAAATAAAATATGTTGCGATTGGGAATCTGTATTGGCCCTAGCTATGCTTACCTTACTTGAGGATTCACTGAACATTCTTTGTTCCAATCCTGCATCGGCTGACCTTCCTTACCTCTTTCTCAAGTACATCGATGACTGTAGTGGTGCCATCTTTTGCTTTGGTTGGAAGATATCTTCAGCTTTATTTCCACTTTGTAGCCTCTTTCTAACCTTCACATGGCCCAACTTTACCTTTCCTTTCTAAACATTTTAAAAAGTTTCCATTTCCAGTACTACTAAATGGTTACTGACCTGAAACATTAACTTGCTTTCTCATTTCAACAATGGTGCCAAATTTTGAGTAATGCCAACACTTGTTAATACTTCAGATTTTCTGCATCCACAGTATTTTACTTATGTAAGGATTTTTGAACTGTGTTTATGCAATTACATTTCTTTGTATTAAATGTTTTGCCTTATGCAAGGTGCCAGCTTAACTGTGAAAGCTAACGAAACAGTACAAATGAAGAAAGCTGTGCACCTGATGGAACTGCATAAACTTAATGGAAATCCCCACATCCTGGTTACAAAGCTATCTTTCAGAAAAGAACTTGAAGATTATTAGAATGGCTTCTGGAATGGCCACTGCTGGAACCTGAAAAAAAATTGTAGCTCAATAAAAGATACAAAAAGTAAGCAGAGTCAAAGCAACACAAAATCTACAACCGAACACTAACCTTTCCACATGCTCTACAGTGATGCCGCCTCCAGGTAAGTGTAAAGTCACATGTGCAGATCATGCACATGGTAGCCCGAGGATCAGGGATCCATATGGGTGCCTTAGTGCCCAAAGGTGTATTTAATTCTGGTTTGTCTGGTTCTTCCTAGAAGAAGAAAAAAAGTTCACAATAGCTTAGAAACTAAAAAGAAACTGAACAATCTATATTACCTGCAGGATGTTGCAACATATTGAAATTATATAAAAATTTTTCTACTTCTTTTAAAAGATGTACAAGAATGAGGTATTAAGTGGGAATTAAATGTTTCCTGAATCAAAGAAGGGTAATCAAACTTCATGAAAAATCTAACACGCTCTGGCAAAATTTTAAGTAACTAGTACAAGAATCCAAGATATTGGAGCACTATATGAGATTTCAGCTCTACACTGTAGAGCTCTGCCTCGGCCTGAAACAAAGTTTGCTCCATTACAGATTAGATATCTGTTTAATTATAATTGAGGCACAAGCACAGGAGAGGAAGGATCAGGTCTTAGTTCTCAAAGGTCCAACCTTTAGGAGTTTACCCTCATTGCTCCTCTTTTGATTAAAAATAAATAAAAAATAAATAAAACATTTTTAAAATTCATTCACAAGACAAGGGCATTGCTGGCTAGGCTAGCATTCGTTGCCCATCCCTAATTGCCCAGTGGGCAGTTAAAAGTCAACCACATTCCTGTGGCTCTGGTAAGGATAGCAGTTTCCTTCCTTAACGGACATTAGTGAACCAGATGGGTTTTTCCGATAATCATCATTGGACTCCGAATTCCAGAATTTTATCCCACCATCTACCATAGTGGGATTCAAACCCAGGACCCCAAAACATTACCTGGTTCTCTGGATTAACACTCCAGCGATAATACCACAAGGCCATCACCTCACCAAATGCCAGGCTCTAAGGTTGCAGATTGTGCTGGAGTTGATGGCCCACAGCACCTCATGGATGCCCAGTCTTGAGTTGTTAGATCTGTTTGAAATCCATCCCATTTAGCATGGTGATAGTGCCACACAATATGATAAGGGTTAATCTCAATGTGAAGGTGAATTTCTTCTCCACCATGATTGTGTGGTGGTCACTCTTATCGATACTGACATGGACAGATGCATCTACAGCTGGCAGATTGATGAGGATGAGGTCAAGAATGTTTTTCCCTTTTTTTGATTCCCTCACCATCTGCTGCAGACCCAGTCTAGCAGCTATGTCCTTTAGAACCCAGCTTGATCAGCAGTGCTGCTGCTGAGCCACTTTTGGTGGTGGACATCAAAACCCTCACCGAGAGTACATTTTGAGCCCCTGCCACCCTCAGTGCTTCCTCCAAATGTTGTTCAACGTGAGAGTTTAACATGGAGGAGTACTGATTCATCTGCAGATGGAGGATAGTATATGGTAACCAGTAGGAGGATTCCTTGCCCAGGTTTCTTCTGAAGCCAAGAGGCTTCATGGGGTCCAGAGTCAATATCGAGCACTCCCACGGCAACTCTGGATTGTATTCCACTGCTGTGCTGGGATGGTGATGGTTCTGTCTGGCACATTGTCTGTAAGGTATGATTCCATGGAGTATGACTATGTTAGAATGTTGCTTGACTAGTCTGTGAGACAGCTCCCCCAATTTTGGCAATGGTCCCCAGATGTTAGTAAGGAGGACATTGCAGAGTTGTCAGGGCTGTTTTTGCCATTGTCTTTTCCAGTGCCTGGTTCGATGCTAGGTGGTCCGGTTTAATTTCTTTGAGACTTCACAGGAATTTATACAACTGAATGGCTGGTTAGGCCAAAGTCAACTACATTGCTATTGGGCTGGAGTCACAAGTAGACTAGACCAGGTGTAGATAGCAGATTTCCTTCCTATCAACAATGGTTTCATGGTCATCAGTAGATCCTTAATTCCAGATTACTTTTATTGAATTGGCGGGATTTGAACCCACATCCTCAGAACATTAGCTGAGTTTCCGGATTAATAATCCAGTGATAACCACTAGGCCATCACCTCCACTCCCCTCATCAATCTAACTCCTCAGATACAAGAGGCCCTTTGGCCCATTGAGGATGTAGCACCAAAAATATATGTCTACCTGCACTAGTCTCACTTTCCTGCAATAGGCAAGTCATGAAGCCCTCAATCACACAAAATTATGACACTTCAAGTGCTTACCCAAGTACTTTTTGAAGGTTGTGAGGCTCCCCCCACCTCAACTACCTTCCCAGACTGTGCATTCCAGACCCCTCCATCCTCTGGGTTAAGGAAGTTTTCCTCAAATCCCCTCTGAACCTTCTGCCTTTTACTTTAAAATTATGACCCCTTGTTACTGAATCTTTGACTAAAGGGAACAGCTGCTTTCTATACACCTTGTCCATGCCCCTCATAATCTTCTACACCTCTATCAGGTTCCTCCCTCAATCTTCACTGCTCCAAAGGAAGCAACCCAAACTTATTACCTCTCTTCATATCTGAAATGCTCCAACTCGGGCAATATCTAGTGACTCTCTTTTGATTTATTTATTTGATATGTAACCAATTCTTATCTTCTATATCCCTCTATGCCCCTTCTCTGTTTATCTCTCTATCACACTATCTCTTCCTTTATCTCTCTCTTGAACCTCCTCTCTAAGTCTGACCTCATCTCTCTATCCCCATTTTTATGTTCCTCTCTATCCACCCCTCTCCATTTCCCTGCTCTATCTCCTCCTCTCTGTTCAACACTCTCAACAACCCTCCCCTTATCTCACACTGTTTATCTTTCTCTCTATTCCCCTCTCTTTATCCCCCCCCCACCATTTCTCTCTGATGCCACCCACAACATGGTGGCTGACTGTAATTGAATTGAGGCCACATCCTGTATAATGTCCATTTATGGACTATCATTTCAAGGATCACATTATAAATTTCCAGTATTGACACACACTCAAAATATTAATATGAAATATATTAACGTATGAAATGGCAGAGAACTCATGGTATTTGGGGGATAAATTCTAGTTCTGTTCATTTTGAATGGCCTTTGCAAGATTCTGAAAGTTTCAAGAGAACTGTGATGGCAAGAATAATTACTAAGGAACCATATGCTTTTCTTCCAGAATAGTTCAATAAAGGGTAGGACTTTTTTAAAAAATTACTCAACTTTACATGTGGTCGAAGAGTGCAATATACTACTAGAACCTGATCTCACTGACAATTGCAGTAAAGAGTTCACCATGGAATTTCCTTCAATTTTCATAGAACTTCTAAAACAAGAGCAGGCCATTTGGCCCATTGGCCCAAAAACAAACTATATTACTTCATACAAGACAATTTAAAACTCTGTCATCATAAATGTCCGAAAGAAACCCTTTAATCTCCTGTAATAACCTTACAGATATTCAAATTTCAATGAATAGTCAACTCTCTTTCCACGCAAAAGCTTCTTATTGAACTGGCACAGCTGCAAGAGTTTATTTTCAGCAAATATCTGCATCACTTAATGCTTTTTCCTTGAGTTAATGTCTCTTTCTGAATCCTTTAAAACTAGCTATTACCTCTGTTCGCTTATTTCTCAACATAAATTCATTAATCTCATGTCTTCTACAGGCTTGTATGATGTTGTCCTCTCTTGACACCTCCACAGCTTCTGCTACTTGAGTTTTCTTCCCACTGATTAGTAAGCACTTCAGGATATCAACTAATAGTACTTCTTCAGTCAATGACTTCTGTCTGAATGAACCTGATTCTTGGTCCTCTTCTCTCTCTAGGTTCCAAAACTCGGTTAGCAAAAACTCCAACATCTAGTTCCCACAGCACATTGCAGCAACCCGGAAACTACGCAAAGCAGAAAAGGAGCACCTATACGGAGTCTTCAAAAGGAATGGATATCTGAAAAGCATAATCCGCTGTTAACTCCAAGACAGACCACAGCAGGAAGACACAACACGACCAGACTCACTAATCACCCTACCGTACATCAAGGACATTTCAGAGATGACCACAAGACTACTCAGACCCCTAGGTATCAGTGTAGCCCACAAACCACCCTGCGACAGCTACTGACAAACAAAGAATCCCATACTCAAAACCAGCAAAGCCGGTGTAATATACCAAATACCATGCAAGGACTATGAGAAACACTACATAGGCCAAACTGGAAGAAAATTGACAATACGGATACATGAACACCAGCTAGCCACCAAGAGACATGACCAATTCTCACTTGTCTTACTACACACGGACAACGAGGGACACGAATTCGACTGGAACAACACATCCATAATCGCACAAGCCAAAGAGAGACAAGCCAGGGAATTCCTGGAGGCCTGGTATTCTAACCAGAACTCCATCAACAAACACATTGAATTAGATCCTGTGTACAAACCACCGAGAAAATGAACTGGAAATGGTACCAAACACTCCAACAAACTGAGGCATATAAATAACAAGCGGGACAGAACACGGACGCCTTACCGGAGGTGCACTGATGATGTTACCTAGCAAGGTGACAAAACATTTGCAACCAAACCCATTGGCTTGGCAAACACGTCTACAACCTCATCCACAACCCGAGCTACAAATCTTCTCAAAAACTTGAAATTCCTAGTCTTCCCTAAGCCATCGAGAAACCTATACGATGAGTATCTCTTGGATTCAAAGGGCGTGAAGTTATACTTTTCCATAATAAATTCCATCGGCCATAGTTTGGTCCACTCACATATTTTGTCTATGTTCTCTTATACCACTTTACATAGCTTACTGTGCATCCTTACTTAGTTTTAGCTGCAAGGTTGCATGTACAACTTCCTATAACTTTAAAAAAAAATTTACCTGTACACTGAATAGTTGATGTCCCAATAAAGATTACAAGGGGAAACCATACAAGCTGCATTCTGTTTCTCACGAAATTGTCCCTTTTTGTCTCCACTGTTTTACAGCCAATTATCAATCCATATCACAAGGTCACCTCCAATTATGTACACTTGCATTTTTACTGGTAATTTCTTGCGCTAAATCTTATTAAATGCAATCACAAAGCACATGCAAAGCACAATCTAGGTTAATGTAAAGAAATACAATGGCTTTTTTTTTCATAAGAGCTGGGGAGCTCCCCCAGACTCTGGTCAAAAATTATCTTTTGACTCAGCAACA